CACGACGCTTCTTTCCCTGGTCCCCTTTATCCTTCTACCGAGTGGCAGTTGGACCATCAACATATTCTTTGAAGTGCCCTTTTTTAATGAGATCTTTAATCACTAGCTTAAGAGCCTAGCGTTCATTGGTATGCTGCCTATTATCCCAATGATAACGGCAATATTTCTTACTGTTCCCTGCTTAAGGTGGATTATTCATGGGCACCAGCTCTCCGAGCAGATTAGCTTCTTTTGATTTATCTAGAATAGCTGATATCGATGCATTCAACGGAGTATACTGATTCTTGTCGCGATTGCGACGAAGAACCTGGGCATAAAATTTTCTAGGCTCAAACCGCTACTTCTTTCTCTTTCTTTGATCGTCATTAGCCCATTTGCGGTCAGACTTTCTACTACCTACCAACGGTTTTCTTCCCTCAGACTAAGAGCGCTAGTCGAAGGACTGGGGTCGTGGCGATTTAAGGCAGCCACTAAATTTTCAATCTTGAGATACTTCTTAGTAAGGTTGTAGAAACGGGTGAGGGAAATATCATCCCTAGATTATAGCTTCATCCACATGTTAGTTTACGGGCGAACTCCCGTAATAATAAGAGTCTGAATTGACTCTTCAAACATATTAGCCACCTTATGTAACTCTTTGTGAAACCTGTTGATATAAGATTAGAGGGACTCATTCCTCTCCTACCGTATGTTGCTCAAATAGCTTAACGACATTGAAAACTTCCTGTTAGCCTGGAAGTATCTCAAAAATAACAAACTCATTTATTGCCATGAATTAATAAATCCTTGTGGAAGCAATTTAAACCAGCGCTTGGCGTGGGTAGTCAGAGTCATTGCTAAGTAGCAACATTTAGTCAAGTTGAAACTTAGTGAAGCTCCATGAGGTCGTTAAACTCATAGAGATGATCATGTAGATCAAAATTCCCATTAAATGCTTGCATGTCGAGCATTCTGAATCTTGATGGGAGAGGAGTAATCAATATTGTTGGAGAAAAGGGAGACGCCTCAATGACCTGCCCTCGCTTATTCTATTGAGCTCTAATTTGATCCAAAGCTTACTATAACTCCTCAATCTGAGGAAGCGGAGCTACCTAGGGATCACTTTCCACAATGTGGGTTCGACCCTTACGATTATGGTTGAGGAAAGACCGCAAGTCGGACTCTTCCTCACCTTGGCTGGATCCTCCGGCATACCTTGACACATGCTGGCCGGAGCCATGTGAAGGCATGGAATGGCCAGGGGACCTATCTCGACCTCCATGGTGGTCATAATCGACCCACAGATGGTGGGCATTTCCCTTGCAGTGATGGTCGGAACCATCACGCCGACGATAATAGGAATCTCCCTGCCTTGCACTCTTATGGGGGTGCCCATGTGATGTGGCATGGGACGGTTCATGATGGGACATACTGCCAAGTCGCAAAGCCACAAGTATTCTACTTGCTTCACAACCGGTATTCACTGGTCCTTTAGAGCCCTTTTGGCCCATTATCGGTTGTCTGTTTCCCCTTATCTTTATGTGATGTAATGCACGCGGCATGGGCTTACGCCGGCTTTCGTGCTTTAGCGCGAGCTACAGGCGTCTTCGGCGGCGGCACCGCTGTATTAGAATTGGGCGGTACGACCTAATCCAAACGATCTAGCCTTCAACTTACTGTTTAGAGAGTATTATTGAACCTCTCCATGTAATTCCTCACAGTTGGGTCGAGCTATGAGCTCGAGGGAATATATGTCACAGTACTCTGCAGAATTGGAGGTACTTTAGGAGAAACATCATCTTGCGTTTGGGGGATCTCCTCGTTGCTGGTGCTAGCTCGCTTGGGTTCAAGACCACAAGCCATTTGTTTGTGAATAGAACTAGTTGATAAGAGATTCCTGATGAAGAGCAGATACTAAATCAAGGCCCTCCTTCTAATGCTAAACTGTTGATGCTTGATTTTGACACCAACGACTTGCACGTGCAAAATGCTAATTGCTCTTAGAAGTTACACGTGAATGATTGTAGATAATCAAATGCAAAGACTGAATAATAAATGAAAGACGATTTTTAAAGTGATTCGGATGCTTAAAGTGAATTCTACATCCATTGTTATCTTATATATGAGAAATTACAAGAGATCGCGCAGAGCGAACAATGAGTAGAGGTATAATGATTGATAATTCAGACAGAATATCAAGTCAGTCTCTTTCTCATAGGTTATCTTTGCTCTAAGAATATAGAATACAATCAGAATGAGGGTTTTTTGTGTATCAGAATCCCGAAAATGAGAGGGCGGAGTCCTCTATTTATAGTAGAGGAAAGCACATGGAAGAATCATTGAAATTACATAAACTAGTAATTCTTGTAACATATGGAAGAATTCTAGTGTGTATCTCTTAACTATATTGAACGAATGCCTCTGTTAATGTGTTACTAGAATACAAAATGATACCCTGGAACAACAATTCTACAACCTTAAGCTTCCCTGAAGGGTCCAGAATTAATTGTACACCTACCACATATTTAGTTATAAGTTTTGGGTTATTTTAATTTAGTAAAACGTTTTTGAGAAAAGTGAAATCTAAAACGCTTGTTAATCATCTCATAAATTACTCTTGTTTGACTTTCATCCACTGATTTAAGTGCGGGCTAACTTACAAATTGGTTTGCACTGTTATATATAGATGGAATTTAGATGATTGATACTTGTGAGGAATCTAAAACAGACTTTTGAACATCAAAGACCTTCACAGTAGAAATATCTATTCTTTGAGAAATTTGTGATGGCGAGCCTGAGTAATACCACGTATGAATATAATAGTTGCGTGTAGAATCATTAACAAGAGAAAAAACAAAACCCATCACATTATTCGGAAGACAGAAGTTTTTAGCTTTTTCTATTGACTTGAGCGTCAAAATTCTGTTTTGCATGCATTACAATCAGTCGGCCATTGTCATGCCTTTCAGCTTTAGGACCAGTTATTTTTCCGAAGCAAATTCATTTAACTTGTGGAAAATTAATTAACTTGATATATTAATTTATATTCTACCCCTGAGGCCTTTTTCAAGAGTACTTTCTCAGGGATCAGGTTGGCGTTTACTTTCTCTCTTATTGGCTAATGTGCTTGTCCTAATTGTCCTTTTATAAGATTTAATACAATTGAATGTTAAATTATGCAAGTGCCCGGAAATTCCACACGGTACTAAAATTAATTAAGTAGAATTATAAAATGAGTTGACTAGTTACTAGAAAAATTGACTGTATTGCTATTATATATTGTTCACGTTATGGTCTTTCGTATAACATCATAAATTATGCAATAGACTGGAAGAAACCGAATTCCCATCATATTTCAATGTTTACCAAAAAGACTTATAAAATTATATATATGTAGTGCTCCTGAAAATTCACATACTACTAAAATTTAATTAAGTAGAATAATATCATTATGACTTCCAGGCTTTAGTGTTTAGCATAGACTGTGGTCAGAAAATTTGCAAGTATCACATCTCTCGGAAAGCAGAAAATTTGGCGTTTTTGTGTGTACCACATTACTGGCCCCTGTCGTCCTTTCATCTGCATTACGAGGCAATTCTACGGTTCTTTCCGCTGACAATTTTTCCAAGAACAAGTGGTTGTAGAAATTAATTAACTTCATAAATTTGGTGTATTGATAGTATGACTTGGTGTCGGCCACCATTATAGATACATATGCATATACATCATCTGTTGACTAAATTATTAATTAAATTAATTGTAGATTAAGTTCTAAAATCCCTACTAAAAAATCACCTTTATTAATGACAAAAGATGTTGAATAACGCCAAGGGATTAGCCTAATGAAAAAAATGTTTGTTTTTTTGTGTTCAAACCACCTTTGGTCACCTGTATAGTTGAGACTTATCTTCAAACATTAGGTTAAAGGTATTTAATATTGTCCCAGATACTCTAGTTTTTTAATATATATAAAACCTCTTGGTGATTGAGTGGTTGATAGAAACTCTTAAGTATATTTCAAGAGGTCTTAAATTTAGTCTCTTATTGTTGATAATAGGGACAACCATTAGAGCTATCCATTCAATAATTGGGTTTATCACGGATAAGCTAGTCGTTGAATTTTTTTCTAACTAAATAAGACTTATCACAGGAAATGTAGAAGAATTCTGGACAAGTTACATTCATTTGCTTACACATCTGAAGAACAAAGGGCTAATACAATAAAGGATTCTCCTAGTGATGAAGCTCTGATGACGAGAAGTAGATTTTTCAGATGAGAAAAAAATAATTAACAACAATACCTTTTACTCTTTAGTTCAACGACTTGAATATTATTCCAGAAAATCAGAAGAACTACAGAGTATTCTGCTAATGTGGACTGCTACTTTACAAAATTATTTAAACTCAAAGTAGAAGTTTAGAGAAAACATGCTTAAAGATTAGCATACTTGTATGTAACGGGGATCAGCTCAGTGATTGAAGCTTCATTCACTGAATATTGGACAGCATTGCTTTTTGATTGACCCGGCACAGTGACTTAGATTTATCCTGTTCCACAACGCTGTGCATAAAGAATGCAGGTTTTGACGGCACTGACACAGAGAGACGAGTTGCTAGGTAGCATTAGAACAACAAGTCATGGTTGGTCTATCAGCTTCATTTTCTTGAACACATAGCAATCCAACATGAATACATCTCGTAATTTCACTAATGGAATGACCCTCAAAGTGTGATCATTCATATTTAAAGCTGTCCCTTCTTTCCAATTTCTCCCTGCTACAAAAAATGAACAATGCACACAATGTTAGTGCCTTCTTTGATTTTTGAAATTTCATTGTCATCACTTATCCCGTATGAAGGAGAAGAAGATAAAATAGTTCAAGATTTTGCTTACATAAGTTAGCAGGTCCTCCCCTCTTCTCCATTACAAAAAATACTGGTCTTTTGGCCATAATGATTTCCAAGACTAACACACCAAAGCTGAAAACATCAGAATTGACTGAGAAGTGTCCATACTTTACATATTCAGGAGACATATATCCACTGAAAAGGGTCATAAGTTAGAATTAGTTAGTTTTACGAAAACCAAAACTATCCATGATCAATGCAACTTATTTCTGGTTTTGCCACATATAGGAAGTGGTAAAACATAAGAGATCTTGATATTTTCCTGGGTATGAATAAAAAAATTTAGTTTTAATTAGCAAGCTCTAAGTAGTTCTGTATATACTTAAAGGTTCCAACAATTCTACTTGTATCGCCTCGAGTTTGATCCACTTCAAATAACTTTGCCATTCCAAAATCTGAAATTTTTGGAATCATTTGCATCTAAAGAATGTTGCTAGCTTTAAGTCGCGATGAATGATTTTTAATCTTGAATCTTCATGAAGGTAAAGAATTCCTCGAGCTATGCTCCTATGATCTTATCGTTTTTCCCAATCTAATAACAATCGCTTGATTGGATCTAAGAATTCAACAAAACCAAAGCACTTCAACAGATTGCATAAATCTAATCAGGCACATTTGCTTCTTATATGCAACATATATGCGCATACATCTAGCATAAAAATTGCTACGATCACAGTGAATGCAAACATGGTAATGCATTCATTTTGGAGAAAGAACCAAAAGGCAGTGAAAGCATACCAAATATGAGTTATCTAGGCTTGAATTTGACACAAACTCATATATAAGAAGCCTTTCTTATCTTCCAAGCAGAAACCTCGAAGCCTAACTAGATTTCTATGATGAAGCTTGGCCCACAGAGGACCTCATTTTGAAATTCCAGATCTCCTTGTCCGTATCTCTAGACAGCCTCTTCACAGCATATCCTGTCCGTCAAGAAGTCTTCCCTGAAATGAACTAAGATAAAAATAGAGGTAAATCCAAAACAATTAATTGCATTCCGGGAACTCAAACTTTACAAATGGATGCATTTTGATCACCAAATGGTGTCTTGTCACATCCTCAGTTACCTGTAAACAGAAACAAATCCACCTTCTCCAAGCTTATTACAAATGGAAAAGTTATCTGTTGCAACTTTGATAGTGCTGAAGTCGAATGCAAGGATCCACAGTCTCAATTTCATCACCGACATCTTAAAAATAGTGTCAAGTTAGCATATAAATAAAACAGCTACTAATAGATGTAAAAATTATGATGGACCTTTATCCTGAAAAACATATTTACGAAGGCAGATGCTAGAGAGTGATTTCTTGTTCAGTATTAATTCCTCTTCTGTTAATGCAGCTATTATATCAGAGTTAATAGAAGCAGCCAGATTAAAACAAAATTCGTTTGAAATTTCACCCTTAAATTTGATAACCTTAACATTAAACAATGCATAAACGACTAACCTTTTAGTTCTTGCTTTCTTCTTATCTCGCCCTTTGCCTTCTCCTCCTCTTTAAAAAGCAATAAGTTAAAGCAACTAGTAGTGATGTGATGTAATTATAGAGACAATAATAATTCCAACAGCTACAGGTGCAATGCCTCCTTTGTCTGCAAAAATCAAAATGGCCTCTGAATATTATAAAAGGGATACAAATCCAAGCGAAAAATACAAAATTCAATAATTAAGTTAAATTTGAGTTTATCAAGTTCGAACTTACTAGGTGGGGTATTAGTTATCTGTGGAGGAGAAATTCTGGGTGATAGTGGAGGAGACGGAGATGGAGCTCAGTTGATTCATAAAAGGGATACAAATCCCAGCGAAAAATACAGCTAGGCCTCAGAACGTAACTCCTTGCTTCCCATGAAAGCTGCTCTCGAAGTAAGATACAGATTGACGAAGGCAAGAGTCGCAATTACTCCGGGATAAGTCGGAGTACACTGCATTAGGCGTATATCTTCTGAAAGAAAGTCAAATTAGCTTCTTCAGTGGCAAATTGAGCTTAAAAGAACCATAGAGGCTTTTGTAACCACACGATCCATTAAACTTTCAGGTCTGATCAAACTGTCAAATTCGTATTGTATATTCACATTATAGCCAGCATCGCTAGGATCCGTCTCCAGTAATCCAATAAAAGACCGGTCTGCATAGCGTACAGTGCATCGAGGACCTGCTGCCCATGAAATTGCTTCTTTTGGTTGGGACATTTGGTTATAAGATCATGGTTGTGGTATTGACACAGCTGGAAACAAGTTTCTGAAGAAGAATCACCCCTGCAAAGTGCAAGAGCATAAAGTTCGTTGGTGTCTTGGCCAATAGTAGCAGTATAAAAACCCCCATTTGTGATACATTAGATGCAAGATTTGAAAGGATAAGGTCGCGGTTCTTGCCATAAACACGTGTAGTTGTGAAGTTTCCCGTTCGTAACATCTCTGGCCATTGGTAAGAGTGATGCTATAGACAGGTAAAGTAAGAAGCGAAGGAGATTTGTAAAAGCCATGGCATGTTCAGAATTCTCCTGTCAATTTAATATATGGATTAGTGAAGATGAAACAAGATACAAGACTTAATAACTCGAGATGGTGATCCAAGCGCAGGAAACTCTGGCTTAAGAACATGCTTGATTAAGAGACTTGACAACCTACCTACTTCGCGCCAGAAACAGTGGTGAGACCGGGAGACTTAATAAGAGGACTTTGACCGTGAGACAACGAAATATAAAAATGCGGATTTTTAAGACTAAAAATAATGTTGTATTTTCCTTAATATTAGTCCCTTTTATTATTTTTAATAATTGTTATTAACCTTCATTTTTTACAAAGTTTAAAGTAATATTACATATGAACATACCTAACAATTGCGTGTAGAATCAATTAACTTGAGCGTCAAAAGTCTGTTTTTGCGTGTGTTTCACTTTGACATCAGTCAGCCAGTGGTTCAATTTGTTCAAAGTATATTATTTTTCCGAAGACAAATTCATTGAACTCGTGGAAATGACAATATTACATCATAGATACTATCCTTTGAATCGGTTTTTCTTGATAAACCGATTCAAGAAAATTGATATCCAGCACTCACAATTAAATTTTCTTTGAATCGGTTTTCTAAAATTCTACTAATAATTTATTTTTCTATGGCCACTGCACTTTCGCGCGAATTCCCCTATCGCCACATTCGAACCTCCATCCTCCGCTCTTCTAAAACCCAAGCTCCTCTGGCTCCCTCCATCATTGTTCACCGCATGTGACCTTGATGCCGCAAGTAAGTCGCGTTTTTGCGACCCTATCCTCTGCAAATCGTCGGATTTTTTCGGTGTTGATCGTGGGTTTGCTTTTTGAAGTGTATTGTGTGTAATTACCTGGCCGTCGGCGACTCTACATCATTCCAACCTTGCACAGCCAGATGCCACCACCTGTTTGACAAAATTCCTCACTCAAAGCACCACCAGCCAATACACCCTTTGAGATCATTTTCATTGTCATTTCAGATTTACGCTGTGTAAATGACTACTTCCCTTTTACCATTGTTTTTATGTTAATTTAAGAGTGATAATATGAAATTTATGAAACCAGTGGGCCTTTGCCATTTCGTTAAAGTTGGGCGGGAGCATGCGTTTACTATCAACATATGAGTTACAGTTCTGAATAAGTGACTGTGGACCTTTGGTTTGTATAAAGTTTGTGGGCTTTAAAACATTCACACCTTTAAGGTTTAATGTAGGGTTAGGTTCAAAGGTTTAAATAAGTGATATCACAAGCCCAACTGTATAAAAGTAATAACTAACCGTTGTTAAAACAAAGAATTTACCTTTTTTGTATATAGATAGTACAATTGACCATGAGTAACAAAAAGCAATAACACTACGGACACCGAAAAAAGTTACACCGAATTTCTGTACCGGCCTACGTGTAATGCGTATCTCAATTTTTTTACAATTTTTTTCTAGTGAACGGCCGGTCATCACATTTGGCGCGTTCACTCACATGGACGCCCGTCCATATTATATGACGGGGTCCATGGAAAGGGACGGGCGTCCCTCATTAAAGGACGCCCGTCCCTTATTAATACAATTAAAAAATTGTAAAATTTAGGGACGGCCGTCCATTCATTATGGACGACCGTCCATTAATTTTGGAGGGGCGTCCACAAATAGGACGCCCGTCCTTCACCCAATATAAAAAAAAAAAAAAATTCTTTGGGGACGGTCGTTCATAAATTTTGGACGGCCGTCCTTTCTGTTTGGACGGGCGTCCATTAAGAATGGACGGCTATGGACGGCCGTCCATTCTTAATGGAAGCCCGTCCATACTTAAAAAAAAAAAAAATTCTAAACAGAAATAGTCTTTTCTTCACTCTTTTCTTCTCGTCATTCCCATCTCCTCTCTTTTTCTTCGTCTTCATTCCCCATCCTCTCTTCTTCTTCGTCTTGTTTTATAAGATAGGCGGTGCTGTTTATAAGTTTCAATCGGCATGGTCTCTTTAAGAAACTGTTGCGAAGAATTTGAATCAGGAGGTGAAACTTGCAGGTATTTGCTCTGAGAGATGCTGGGGATGGCTGAGAAATCTGCACACGACCACAATTCCAGGGCATTCAGATTCAAGCTTGTTCTTGACTATCAATCAGTATAAAACCTTTAAGGCATTTTTATTGATAGAAGCTGTTTTCTCTCCTTGCAGGTCGATGTGTCGTCAAGCAAAACTGACCCGTGCACCCTGTACCCTTACATCAAAACGCTAACTAAGATCAACAAATGCAAAATCGAGAGGTTTGGACGATGAACAAAAGGTGCCATTATGCTACACGCACTTTGCTTTTTTTTTGTTTAGTTTTGAATATTGATACAAGAGAGTGGTAGAGATAGGTGGGACTGGGAGATATATAAGTGAAAAGAACGAAGAAATTTGCATGGCCGCTGCTTGAGTATTTGTATAAAGATATATTTAAGTCAATAGAAGATGCAACTAATGTTGGCCTGGTTGGTGAAATCTCTAAACCCAAAAAAAAAAACGAAATGATAGAGAAAGAGATAGTCTTAAAGATGTGTTACAGGCCATTGTTAATACTTAAAAACATTGGGCAAGCCACCAAACTGTAACTGATAACAGCTAAATATTTATTCGCCCCTCCTTTTACTGATATTATAAGGGTTTATCATCAATGTTAACAGGCGTTTATTCATTAAGCTGCTTGCAAGATTCTTCTTTTACGCCCACAGTCACGTCGATTCCAGCTCTCTCAGCCTATCTAACCCTTTTGAATCTACAATTGGGTTTGGATCCACCATTCCAACCACCACTCTTTTTCACTTTAGCTTTAATCATAGTTTCAGTACATGGTGGAGTTCTTCATAGTGATTACACGGTTCCAAG